TCATTAGTGGTGTAGTTCACAGGGTTACGAAAAAGTTAACAGTAACATGCATATGATACGTCCGATGTGCTTGCCATACTTCTCATGGATAAGCATCCTCACACTTCTGTTGAGCGTGAGGAACCCCAGCCCTTTTCCTGAGCTTGGGGTTGGGATAGAATGTGGACTTGCCTTCCAGATGTGCTATGCTTTGGAAGCACTTCAGAGGTCTTGGAAGTAAAGTGTTTCTGGCAAGCTCAGGTTGAGGCCTGAGGCTAAACCATTTCCTGCACTTTTGAAGCACTTCAAAGTGCTTTGGAATCGCAACAGGACACAGATGAGCTCCAGCCTCTTTGTGAGCTTAGATCTGAGGTGGAGAGAGATTGTCTTTGACCTCATGAGATTTTTTGAAGTGTCGCCAAAGCTCAATTGGATAGGAGACTCCACCTACATGAGTGGGACCCTAATAGCTGCCAAAGCTTTGGGTTTCGTGGTCTTCAGATACATGTACACAGGTGATTACATATGTTTGTACATGCATGTTTATTCTCTCCATAAGCATTTACTTCAGGAAACAACCAACTTCAGGCAACCAGCTCTTTTATTGCATAGCCTTGAGAAAGTCGACAAACTGCTCCTAACTGTACGTCCTACCACATGCTCCCTAGACCCATGCCCTTTGTGGCTAATTAACACTGGCCACGAGGGGTTTCGAGATGCCTTGCGGGAAATTATCAACAAGTCCCTCATTGAGGGGCTGTTCCCTGAGGCACTTAAGGAAGCAGTGGTGCGCCCTCTCCTGAAAAAGCCATCTCTGGATACGTCCGAATTGGCCAACTATCGGCTGGTTTCCAACTTGCCCTAACCGGGCAAGATAATAGAGAGGGCAGTGGCAAGTCAGTTACAGGGCTTTTTGGATGACGCTTCAATATTAGACCCCTTCCAGTCCGGTTTTCACCCGAGTTACGGGACAAAGATGGCACTGGTCGCCCTCACGGACGACCTTTGAAGGCATCTGGATCGAGGCAGATCGGCAGTGCTGTTGTTGTTAGACCTGTCAGCTGCGTTTGACACGGTCAACCATCAGCTACTGACCCACCGCCTTGCTGACATAGGAGTCCAGGGACTAGCCTTGCAGTGGCTTGCTTCCTTTCTACAAGGCCGGGGACAAAGAGTGGCGCTAGGGGATTAGCTGTCCTGAAGGCATCAACTGGAATGTGGAGTGCCTCAAGGGGCGGTGTTGTCCCGGATGCTTTTTAACATCTATATGCACCCTCTTGCCCATATTGCCCGGAGGCATGGACTGGGTTGTCACCAGTATGCGGATGACACCCAGCTCTATCTGTTGTTGGGCAGTCTGTCTGACTCCAAACCGGAAGACCTAGACTGGGCACTGCAAGCCGTGGCTGGTTGGCTTAGGCTGAGCCAGCTGAAATTGAATCCGACGAAGACAGAGGTCCTGTGCCTGAGCCGGAGTGGTCTGAGGGTAGAGATCCCACTCCTGACCTTCGATGGGGTGCCACTGGTGCCAGTGCCAGAGGTTAGGAGTCTGGGATTGCTCCTAGACGCCTCCTTAACAATGGAGGCCCAGGTAGCAGCCACTGCCAAATTGGCCTTTTATAATTTCAGGCTGATTAGGCAGCTGGTTCCCTTCCTTGAATGCAACGACTTGGCAACAGTGATCCATGTGATGGTCACCTTGAGACTGGATTTCTGTAATACCCTCTACATGGGGCTGCCCTTGGTTCAAATCCAGAAGCTGCAGCTGGTGCAAAATGCCATGGCCAGGTTACTGATGGGATTCCCTGCTTGGGAGCACATCCAACGTGTGCTAAAGACATTGAACTGGCTGCCTATAGCATACCAGATTCAGTTCAAGGTGCTGGTTATTACCTTTAAAGTCCTTTATGGCCAGAGACCTTCATACCTTTAGGGACCGCCTTTCCCCATAGGTACTGTTATGCCAACTCCTCCCGGAAATTCCTGGATACCCAATCCGAGTTATCTACCTCAGGAAAGGGGGTTTGTGGCTATGCGTAAGTTCTTAACCAGTTTATACAGAGGTCAGATGGTCAAAGGGGAAACGCTCGCTATTGGTCAGGGAGCCAGACAACACACTATTGGTTAAATCAATGTTGCCTTTACTAAATGGTTTCATCAGACATACAAAATCGGAAACATACAAGACTCACACAAGCTCCTTAGTTACAATAGTACATCAGAACAATTACAGCATAGAAAATAACAAAAGCATCAAATAAGGGGATGACACAATGGGGCACGGCTATACTTATCTGAGGTTCAAGCTGAAGAAGAAATTTCCTCCTTGGAAGGATGGGCAGCTAAAGCAGCAACTTGTGAACTCTGAAAACACACAGGCTGGGCCAGCCAAAGCCACGTGTGCGCTCCCTGGGTCGCGACTCCCGGGGAACTTAGTAGAGAGTCACTTGTAGCACCTTAGTGCACGCTATGGGGAAGGTGGGTTAACCAGAGAAACAAAGACTTAAATAAGCCCCTTTTTGGGGCAGTCTTTTCTAGCCATAAGCTATCAAACCCGTCCTCTAAACTACCACTACTGGCTGAAGAGGGGGTGACGAGGGGGTGACGTTCTCCTGAGGGGTGGTGGGCAATATGCAGATCCTACTCCTACATCAAAGGTGCCTTGTGGTGAGGTGTGAATCTTCCGTTCCCATGGACACCTCTTGATTTGCAGATCTGGTGCTTGCTCCAAAGCCATAAATGCTATTGTCTTTAGATCCCAAGCCAGATTAGGAGAGTAGGGTTACGTGCT